TCTAGGGGTTATATTGGGATACTGGAAAATACAAAATATAGAGGAAACTACTATTTAGAGTGTAGGGTTTAAGGGTTATAGACTCCGATAATGGAGAATCAAATGGAAAATGCAATGGAACCTGCAGCACGGGCTGAGCAAGTGTGCTGCGAAGGGCTTATGGGCCAATGGTATCAGAAGCAGGCTGTAAGTCTCCGGGGCCCTGGGAATTCACATGCCAAGAAGAAGCTGAACTACTTTCAATCTGAAGCGAGCTTGCTGCAAACCCCAGCTCCTATAAACCCCTAACTACCAATTCCCAGGTTCCATTTCAGTTTCGTTTTTTGTCAATTAGATTCTCCATTATTGGAGTAGTATTTCTACATAACCCCCCATATGAACAGAGGCTGGAGCTTGAGGGTCAATGTCATCGTGCAAAGCACGAGCTTGCAATCACAAGAAATCTTGTCCGTTGAAATGAGATAAAGCTTCGTCACAGTAGAACAGTGCACCCCCCTTGCAGGGCCTACTCTCAGGGTCTCACCTATCAAGGTTCGGTTCTTGTTGCACGTTGAGCTTTCGGGGTGTAGCGGGTAGCCGTGTAGGAGCTGCAAGTACATGCTGTTGGTCAAGTGTTTGCCCTCCTTGGTTAATTATTTTTGAGGGTGGACAGGCCACGCCAAACCCCGAGGTACTTCATGGTAAAGACGCGGGCACAGCTTGTCTGTACTTCGGTACGCAGCAGAAAGGTTCATCTGAAGACATCGCATGCACAAGTTGTTAACACTCGCGCAGGATCCCACCATGGAGTCGGATTCCGACATCGGGGCCCGATCGGCTCCCAAGCCCTCGCCGCTGCAGGCATGCAGAATGAGGTTTGTCCTTCACATGCATAGAGATGTAGGTTCCAGCAGTTTAGATCCAGCTTCTGGTCATATGGGGCTTACACAGGTATGATGCACCAATAGTTGAGAATTAAATGGAAAAGAAGATGAAATATGAAATGGAACCTGGGAAGAGATAGGCGAAGGAACAAGGATTAGGAGTTCGGGGGGTATGCTGGTGAGCCATGCGGTGCAGGGCTCCTCAGGGCTAGTCACACTCTACTGACTTGGATGTTAGGCATGCAACTGGCTGCAAGTGGTTAGGTAGATTTCAGAGCTCACGACCTGATGTAAAACACCAGAAACAGTGAATCTGTGTTCCCGTCATTTTTCGTTTGATCGCTTCAGATAGACTGTGCTCACCCAAAATCCCATGGGTCAATTTTTCCAGGGTTTGAACCTGTAGGGCGGGGCTTAGAGTGAGGCTGTAGGGCTAGCAGATCATTATACAAAGTTTGGGGTCAGCAGTTAGGACCAAGCGAATGGTGGCCAAACAGCAATTTACTGTCCTAGGTCAAAGTGGCCGAAGTGTTGACTTCAATGACCTGGCTTCGGGATGCCATCTCTATGTCTTCAGTTGGCTCCATTGGAGTCGCACTTTTGTTTGGGGCTACTACTGTACTACAATCACTATAGTCCTCAGTAGGGCTAAGATTTAGCCCCTTCTTTCGGGTGTACCTAAACCCCCAAAAGTATGCAAAATAATAGCCCTAAACCCATAATAACAGCCATAAAGGCAATTATTTCACATATTTTTGGGGTCCTTGTAGTACATCTTTATACCAGGCTACTCTAAAGGTGTATTCGGCAGAGTCATGCCCTGAGAGCCACAGGTGCTCCGAAAGCAATGGCGTGAGAAACAGACGCCCGGGCCTTCAGCTTTCAGAAGGGACAGGGCGCCAGGAATATATGGGGAATATAAAGTATCATGTAACTATTAAAGATTTGATCGGCTAAATTTGCAAGCTCCTTTTATCTCATTTTCATTTGAGTCTAGGGTCTATAGGGTTTGGGTGGCATTCTAGCCTGGGGACCCAAAGCGCACTCAGCGGCAGGATGCGCGAAATGCAAACTTCTTCATTGCCTCACCAAAAACTGTGCTTCATTCCACCAGCTCTTCAATCTCAAGTTGTTTCCACTATATGCAAGGGCTGAACACGTAAGCGTCAGACTTGCAAACCTGACGACCCCCAAAATGTTATGGAAACTACTATAATGGGTTATGTAATATAACCCATTATAGTAGTTTCCATTTTATTTTCCATTATCCCAATATTACCCCATATAACCCAGAATATATTCTTTTGCTCCTAGGTCCAAGGTTCCCGAGGTGCCTCCCATATTAGGGCTATATTAGGATTATATATTGGGGTTAATTATATTGGGGTTATGTTGGGGTTATATTGGGGATATATATATTGGGGTTATATTGGGGTTATATTAGGGAAATCGTTTTCTTTGCGCGCCTCTTGAGGCACAGCCCTTTGACGCCAAGGCTGACGGGTCGTTTCGGGATTGATTCTACCCGGATTATGCAGGGATTGTTACCCAAATACTGGAGGCTCAAAAGTAACACGAAATAGAAGATGAAATGGGAACTGGGAACTGCGCTTGAGGTGGATCGAGAAGAGGGATCGCGCACCTACGCAATTCAAGTTTCTGGGCCTCTACCCGCTACCTGACACCCTTAGCCTGATAGCCTTTCAGTTCCAAACTCCCGAGCATCGGGATTCCTCTTCCAGTCATACCGTAGCAGTTTCCATTTCATTTTTAAATTACCCCAGTATAACCCAAGTACAGCCCCAATATAACCCCAATGTAACCCTAAAGTCTCTACTAGGCTATACACTCCTGGATTCTGAAGAGTTGGGCCTTGTTTCATCGCGGGGATTCAGGCTTGCGAAATCAGCTTCATGTTGCATACAGGCTTCTCTGGGTTGACTATTTGGGTCTTGACGGTCTTGCAGAGAGATTCGGCAAGCCGCAAGTACAGG